CGAGTTCTTCAAAGTTGACAATGCCAGAATGGGGGAGATCTAATTCTGCGAGAAGATCGCTTTCAAACAACAAGGCGTTCCAGTATACCCTCACACTCAGCTCTCTCCACTGAGTCGGAATTCGATTTGGACTGCCAAACAACAATTGCAATTTCATGCTCACGCTGGACAGCAAGGTCCATGCTTCCAGGGGCCGCACTAGATAGAATAGGTAGGCAGAGGCCATGACCATGCACTGCGCCGCAACCACAGTATTTCGCATCATGACTGATGGTAGGAAGCTCCATGCAGCGGCAAAATAAGGAAGTCCCGGCGGTTCACGATCTGGTGACACAAACGAGATGCTGCCACTATGGCTGGCGCTTCCTAGGGCCAAGACCAGAAGAACAAGACAACTCATGGGTCCTTCCTGAAATCCTTGCGCGAGAGCTGATTGATAATATCTATTCCACGTATAAGGGTTCACGCAGGCGTACCAAACGTTTCCGTAGTTGAAAAATGCCTGGGCATACGTGGATGCATTTGTCAAATCAAAGCCTGAATTTGGAGTCAGCCGCAATGGCTCGCGGGCCATTTCCAATTGAAGAAGATGCTGTGGATCATAGACCCCAGAGACCAAATCCCGAATTAGGGGCCATTGGAGGAGATGAAGAGCAGGGGTGGTATGCATCTTGGGCATCGTAGAAATGCTTAGACTGGCAGGTGGGTTGACCCAGGAACCGAGTCCAACGGCAGACAATCTTCCGTGGGCCGGCAATCCGCTGGATGATGTTTTCGTTAATGGATCGTCGCTACCGAGGTTTGTATCGTTGCTGGTGGCCGGGGAGGTAGCGGAGAGGGCTGAATGTGACCCTTGGTTTGGTAAATTCGAATGTAGTAAACTCTCAATTCTGGCCAAATGATCTAAAATGAGCTTGTCGCCAGCGTCGAGTTTAATACCCGGTTCTCGATAGACACATTCCGCATTCAAATCGGAGCAGAGTTGACACTTAGGACGAGCCCCATTGCATCGGGTCTTGCGTAGCCGACATATCTGACACTGAATCAAAGTCAAATCTGCCTTGCTCGAATGTGCCAGCGGCGCTTACAGCTATTGTTGCCCGTCTTCTGGGATATTCAGCAGCCTCTGTATTCGAGCGCTTTTTCTTGCCGATGGATGTGTCGCTAACTGCATAGTCCCCCATGGGGTCCACCATCTCTTTTTCTGGGGGCAGAGTCATTGTTCAAAGCTGAGATTGTGTGTGGAGTTCTAACGTTGCTTTCCACTCCAAACCGAGGGGGTGGTCAGCATGACGGGCATCAGACCATACTTGAAGAGTAGAGACAAAGAGAGGGATATCCAAGAAATGATCCGGAGAATTTAGGGGTACGGGCATTAATGTATAATACAAGGTCGGCTTCTAATAGAAATCCGTTCGAGTCTTTGTGCTTGTATTATAATAGTTGGCCGCCTAACTCGATACGGGGGTGAGTCCGTGGCAGGTTAAGCATACAACCCTGCGACTGTGACAATGGATGGGAAAATGTGAGACAAGAATAGCATAACAAAAGGAAAAACTAATAAACATTTCAATATGCATTGACATATGCAGGAAATACGGGGAGAGTATAAATGTCAGTACGTTGTAGATTATAGGATGAATGTCACATGTTGGCCCACGTGCACGCGTCCCAAACAAACGCGTCGATCATCTTTCGCATTTGTAGCCGCGCAACATTTTGGCTCAGCATATACTCTGTTCAAATCAATTTCAATTATGCCTCGACCTGCCCCCAAACGAAGTCGTACAGTGGGAAAGAGTCAGCCTAAACCCACAGCGATAGAAGAGTCAACTCAACAAATTGACCTCAATGTCACCAAATCGCCTGCCCAGCCAGAGCGCGGCTCAGGGTTGGATCCGAGACAGGCACTACGCAGCCAGACGCCCTTGACCAGAAGTCATGAACAAGCAATTGAATCTTCACCCATGGGGGACCGGCCGGGCACCGGCAGTCGACCTGGAACCGGCAGTCGGCCCCCTACAAGATCGCGCGGTTATTCTTCTACACTATCATTCGCCGGACGCAAAGGCGACACCAGCTCCCGGGTTCCTGGAACGCCTGGATTCGATAATTCGGTTCTGAGCAACTTCAGGCGGCGACCGCGACAACAAAGCATTTTGCAGATGATGCAAGCCGACGATGGCTCTTCCGATCTTGATGATGATGATGACTTCCTTGGTGGGCTTAGCCCCAATGATGAATCGACACCACTAAATCTCTCTCGGGGAAAGTCACTACTTATCAAGCCAACCGAGAAGTCATCATCCCCGTCACCGTCCGAATCACCGCTCTCGTCCGGCGGGTCGCGCAAGCGCAGGCGCATGACCCAAGAGATTCAAGTACCACAGTCGTCTGTGGATATGGTAGAAGATACTCCAACTGCGACACCAATTCAATGCGACGGATCTCAACAGGACATTGAAAACCAACTTCCTGAAGATGAGGAGGTTGAATCCGAAGACGAGGAACTTGGCGATCAGGATGTTGAGGTGGAAAGGGTTGAAGCGACGCCGCAATCCCAATTATTCCCGGAAATATTGAGCCAGACTATGTTACCACCGGCCAGCAGTCCTGCTGGCTCCGCTACACCTGGTGATGCCACACCGCGACCTGTTCAAAGGAAAAAGTCCAAAGCCCCGAGTCATTTATCGACAGCAAACCTACAAGATAAGCTTTTACCACGTCGTCGGCGCAGACTCCGCGTTACCAACGGGTACAGTGACGAAAGTGATGATCAGCATGACGCCGCAGCTGGTGACGAAGACGAGCTAAACTACCCATCACAAAGATCATCAGGGCGACGGGCGGGAAAAAGCAAACCCAAGCCATTGGCCAACGCCCGAAATCCGAAGCAGAAGAATATTCAAGAGAAAAACAATAAGGATAAATCGGCACCAAAAGAACCAGCTACGTATTCACGTTCTCAAGCGAGTGGTGTCGACAAAGAAAACGAAACGCTTCTGTCATCGCCATCCTCTTCTCCATTGTCATCACCACCAGAGTCCGATGTCTCTGATTCCGAATCTATGGAAACAGAGGCCACTCGTTGCGTGAGCGATGAGTTGCGCGCGGCAGTCAAAAAGTTTGCGGAAGTGGACCAATGGGAGATGGAATTTGAAGATGTATCTGCTTCAGAGAGCTAGTCCTGGAGAGATTTGAAAATTTGAAGAATCCGAATCCAATAAAAATAATATAATATGATTGTCTACTATGTGGTATCTCTTTTGCGGCAGTAACCGCCCTTCTCGTCAAGCCCCGCAATGTAACCCTCAAAATATTACAAATGACAGGTCCCTCTCTTTCTCTCTCTTTTTCCCCAACTATTCACTCAACATGACTACTGTGGATACAATTCTTGCCACAAAGTATCCGGCTAAGGCCCATGCTCGTCGTGTCGCTGAGTCCCTCAAAACTCGGCATGGCGGGGCCGGAGTTATTTACCTTGAGGCTCAAAAAACTCGATTGATCGAGGATAGCGATGAGGATATGCCCTTTAGGTAATGCAGCATTGCTATAGGACCTAGATTGACACTAACCCGATCTAGGCAGCGTCGTCCTTTCTTCTATCTCACTGGATGTCTTTTGCCCAATGCCGCCGTGGTCTACGATGCTGTTAAAGATGAATTGACCCTGTTCATTCCACCGATCGACCCAGAGTCAGTCATTTGGTCTGGTCTTCCCTTGTCTCCCGAGGAGGCCATTAAGCTCTACGATGTGGACCGCGTTCTGTTCACAACCGATGTGAATTCGACTTTGGCGTCGATCGCCTCGAGCCACAATGGACAAAGCGCTGCTTTTGCAATGGCCGAACAGGTGTCAGAGGGCACGAGCTTCCAGGGCTTCGCGGAAACAAACATTTCCAGCCTGAGGACTGCGATCGAGGATACTCGTGTCATCAAGGATGCGTACGAGATTGCGCTTTTGCGGAAGGCAAACGATATCTCGACTAAGGCGCACATCGCTGCTATCCAGGCCTCCAAGACAGCGACTAACGAGCGCGAGATCGAGGCTGCCATTATCGGCACTTGCATTGCCAATGGATGTCGTGAGCAGTCCTACCACCCCATCGTTGCTGGAGGTGAAGGGGGTGCTACTCTTCACTATGTTAGAAACGATGTCGACTTGGTCGATCCCGTCACTAAGCAGCGGAAGAATAATGTCCTCATCGATGCCGGTGGTGAATACCAGACTTACTGCGCTGATATCACGCGTGTTATTCCTCTGAATGGAAGGTTTGCTCCTGAAACCCGTCAGATTTACGAGATTGTTCTCCAGATGCAGACAGAATGTATTGCCATGCTCAAGGAAGGCGTGTGCTGGGATGACGTGCACGCGCTGGCACATCGCATTGCTATCCGTGGCTTATTGAAATTGGGTATCCTGCGCGGATCCGAGGAGGAATTGTTCGAGAAGCGTGTCAGCGTGGCTTTCTTCCCCCATGGCCTCGGTCATTACCTGGGAATGGACACCCATGATACCGGCGGTAACCCCAACTATGAGGACAAAGATACCATGTTTCGCTACCTACGTGTTCGCGCTAACCTGCCTGCTGGCTCCGTGGTCACCGTTGAACCTGGTGTGAGTACTACCCCTTGAGAATCCTCTTTTTCAACGGCCAATTCTTATTGTTTACCAGATCTATTTCTGCCGCTTCATCATCGATCCCGTCTTAAAGGCCCCCGAGACCGGTAAGTACATCGATACCGAGGTCTTGGAGCGGTATTGGAGTGTGGGAGGAGTGCGTATCGAAGACAACATCCATGTCACCAAGGATGGCTCTGAGAATCTGACCACAGCCCCGAAAGTCATTGAGGAAGTGGAGAGCCTGGCATTGTAAGAATCAGTCACTTTACAGCCATTAACCAGATTTTGCCCCCGGGCCGCTCATGGACATTCATATCAAATTCTGATAACACATCGTTGATCCTTGGATATGTGATTGTACAACCGGGAATAAACTAGATGTCTCTTCTATGCTTGCGCGCACTTCCCTTAATCTCGTCCGCTGATCCGCTCTTCAGCTTGCGATCCAGAATGATAGTCAAAACGTCAAAAGAAAACTCTGGGACTTCAATGCACAGCTTCTTAAAGTCATCCCCGACCTCCTGGCGCAGCACGTGACTTTGGTTCGCCCAGTAAGTTGCCACAGGCTTCCGGATGGTAGTGTCCGTTGTTAGTGTATGGGTGTATACGTAACGGGCATATGAAAGCTCTGCGTGAGGTGAGCTCTTGACCTTATGTATCTTGGCATGGGCAATGCGCTGGAGGTTTGACAGGCCCAGCTTCTCTGCCAGCGTGTAGATGCGCGCATGGCGCAGCAACTCGTCGCCGCTTGTGTCTTCGGTTGTTTCCGCGGGTGTTTCCGTTTGAACGACAGTGTAATCATGCGTATACTGGAACTGGAGGAAGCAACTGAATGCATCGACGTTCTCTTCCGGTAGGGTGATGCGTCGCTATGAATCACAAATGAGTATTCAAAAATATGTACGCGTGGATCGGGTATGAATGAACTCACCGGGTCTGACGCTTCAAACTTTGCAACAAACTTGGCTAGTAGTGGTGCCTCCATCAGGAGGGATTGATGAGCTGTCATAACAGTCTCATCGTCGCCTTTCCCGACAATAATCTCAACAATAGGCGAAGTCAGGAAGCTACGAGTGGCTGTGAGCTGGCGAGTAATGATTGGGATAATGGAAGGTGAAGTCATTTTGAAAAAGAAAAAAAAAAAAGGAATTGCGTCGCAAAAAGTATGGGGGAAAATAATGCTCACTCAAGGAAGTTAAAGCCCGTGTTCTTCTTTAGAGCGGGTGTCTCCTCTGCCTGCACATCGGGAAGAGTCGCATCTTGTTGCGCAGGTTCAGGTTCAGGTTGGGTTGTATCCTGCGTTCCTCCCATCTCTACCTCGGTGGAATTGTGGTTCGCAGTGGTCATCGCATTGGATGGTTGAGTTGTTTCGGGGGGTTCATCAGGGACCCGAACTGGTGTTTCTGTATCCATTGTTCAATGGTAGGGAAGAGGAAGAGCTCCAGGGAGAGGTAAGGCGGAGAAGCACAACAGGTGACACAGAAATTTACCTCTCTATTATATGTACATATAAATTTGTACTCTACTTCCTTTCTACTTTTGATACCTTGACTTTCTTTTTTGTTTATACACTTGTCTATCCTTGGATACTCCAGAGCTCCACAGAACGTCATTTACCGCATTCGTCGTGCCAAGAGAAAAAGGAGACCGCAGATCTCTTAAACCCTTTTGATTTATATGATGCATAATCATGGACTCAAAACCAGAAACCGATTCTGTGAAGCTCGGGACTGAACAAGCTGGTCAATACTTGCTCACTGCAGAGGATGCCGAGCTTTTGCGGGAGATTCTCAAAGACAATATCTCATATCAGTCGGGTGAGAAGCGAAAATTTAGGTTCCAGGACTTGAAATTCACCCAGCAGCTGAGTACTTTTCAAAATTTGGGAACCACTGCCCCCCAGTTCCATGGCTTTTTTGTTCTCTTCTGGATTGGGGTAACCCTGATGCTGTTCAGGCTTGCTGCCAACAATTGGAGAAGCTATGGCAGCATATGGGGCAAGAACGAGATTATCCGTCTAATGTTCGATAAAGATGTCATGGTCCTCGGACTGACTGATTTACTCCTTTGTTGGTCTACGGGGTTCTGTTTAATACTGCAACGAGTGGTACTCAAGGGATATATTCGCTGGAATGGTCTTGGTTGGATCATTCAGAATGTCAGTTTCAAAAATTCGCCTCCAAACCCGTTATATTGCTGACCGATACAGATCTGGCAAACTACATACCTTGGAGTCGTTATATGGTGGACATATCATCGCGATTGGCCGTGGACACACACGGTCTTTATCGTATTGCATTGCTTGGCTATGCTGATGAAGCAACACAGCTATGCAGCTTACAATGGTTACTGTGTGTTAATTTCCATTCGGCAATGAGTAAGAGCTAATGAGAACAGTATCGGAAATGTACCGCAAACGAAATATGCTTAAAGCAAGCCTTGACCAAACCAAAGCCAAAGAAAGAGGACTTGCTATTTCTACCAAGATAGGACATTCTTCTGCAGTTGATGCAGAACTCAATGCTGAGATTACAGATCTCAAGAGAAAAGACTCTAGTCGGCGCTCTTCTGACCTTCAAAACTATTCTCCTTCCCATGAAACCGATCAGCTTTTATCTCTTGTTGGAACAATTGAGACCGGCGTGCCACTTAAACCGAATCAGGTGAAGTCCATCCGAGAACTGCTCGAGCAGGAGATCGAGGTATTATCTGAGGGATTAAAGGGCCGGTGTTCACTGACCAACAACCACTATCCCCAAAACTTGACAATAAGAAATGTCTGCGATTTCATGGCATTACCTACATTGGTCTATGAGCTCGAATACCCACGGACCAAGAAAATTGATTGGCTCTATGTCGCAGAGAAAACACTGGCCACATTCAGCATCATTGTGGTTATGATCGTAGCCTCTCAATCGTGGATATACCCGGTGGTGATGGATACGGTGCGTATGAAAGAGGAGGGAATGACCGCGCAGCAGAGACTTCGGGAATTTCCCTGGGTTCTCGGGGATTTGCTTTTTCCATTCATGATGGAGTATCTACTAGCGTTCTATGTGATCTGGGAATGTGTTGTAGGTCCAAGTCTCTCCGCCTACTACCCTGATTCATTGCTAAGTTCATCTAGCTCAACGCTCTAGCCGAAATCACCATGTTTGCAGACCGAGGGTTCTATTCCGATTGGTGGAACTCGGTCTCGTGGGATCAGTTCGCGCGGGATTGGAACCGTCCTGTCCATAACTTCTTATTTCGGCATGTATACCATGGCTCTATCAGCGAATATCGTTTGTCGCGGGTATCTGCCAGTCTTGTCACTTTTCTCTTATCTGCATGTGTACATGAGCTGATCATGTTGTGCATCTTCCGGCGGCTCCGAGGTTACCTGTTGATCCTTCAGATGTCTCAACTGCCGCTTGCTGCGCTAAGCCGGACTCGCCTGATGCGAGGTCGCCGTTTGTTGGGTAATATCGTCTTTTGGTTGGGTATATTTACAGGGCCAAGTCTGTTATGCAGTTTGTATCTGATCATTTGATTTGATGTGCTAAATATCCATGAATAGTCACTGCTTGAATGATTATGTTTGATGTGTTCTCACTCTCGGACATGAAGCCAAGTTACATGATAAAGACTTGTAAATTACTTTGGAATACATCCACATAGTTAAATATTTAGAGATAAAGTCACATTTCGTAGGTTTGATATATATTGTTATGTCCTATTTACTTTGGCTTACATGGGCACGGATCTATTATATAGTATACCCCGCCCGCCCTTCTCTATATACATATATCTCTCTCTCCCTATACTCCTCCCGTTTCCTGTTCTTACACTCTCACTCGCTTTACCAACTCTTCAACCGCAACCATTCATAAATGGCATCCAATCCACCCGCTGCCTGTTGCGCCATTGGCGTTAAACATGAAGGTGAAGCCAAGGGTCAACTCCAACAAATCGGCGATGGTATTTATACCTCCGATGCTTTTGAGGTAGACAGGCTCGCTGACAGTCGTAGTTGAGGTTTACATTTCACGCCCCGAGTATTCTACTAAGCGTGCTATCCTGCTGCTCTCTGATGTAATTGGTCACCGCTTCATTAATGCGCAGCTTATTGCGGATCAGCTAGCGGCAAATGGCTACCTGGTTGTCATGCCAGACCTATTCCACGGTGATCCGGTACTGCTGAACCGCCCCGCTAGCTTCGATTTGATGACATGGCTAAAAGGCCCCCCCGGTCATCCGACAAACCGTGTAGATCCTGTGGTCCAGGCGATACTAAAGGAAATGAAGTCCAACATGGGCTGCGAGCGGGTCGGTGCTGTCGGTTATTGCTTTGGTGTATGTTCATGTCCAGTATATGCCTTGCTGCTGCCCGAGTTGACAAATATAGGCAAAATACGCCGTCCGACTGCTCCAGCCAGGTCTTTGCGATGTTGCCTATGTGGCACACCCCAGTTTCGTCGACATAGAGGAATTACAAGCAATCCAAGGCCCGCTGTCTATTGCTGCAGCTGGTAAGTTATACGATTCAGTTACAGCGTCTTGACTAAATATTGATAGAAACCGACTCGATCTTCCCGACCCCAAAGCGCCATGAATCCGAGGATATTCTGGCTAAGACTGGCCAGCCGTACCAGATCAACTTGTTCAGTGGCGTTGAGCATGGGTTTGCTGTCCGCGCAGATATCACCAAGCCGACAATCCGCTTTGCCAAAGAGTCTGCCTTTTTGCAGGCAGTCGCATGGTTTGAGCAGTACCTTTAATTATTCGGAGAGCCAAATATCTAGCATGGTAACAATAAAACTTTGATTGAAATCCACACTTGGGGTTCGTCTTGAGAAGGGGGAGATTTACATGGATTGGAAGAGACAAAGAAAGAAAAAAAAAGTATGTAATGCCATAACAACCGGTCAAAGTGAACTGCCGTATTGCCTACATCTTCTCATGAGTAGCCATAAGGGAACCTATCATTTGTTAGAAACCGAAATCTTTGCCCATATCGATGAAGTGTTCGACTTACCAATAAACGTAGTGACCAAACGAGACCGAACTTGACAGATGTCCTCTGGGACCAACCAGATGGTGGCACCCATCTTTCTGGCGATACTGATAGAAAGCTTAGCGTTTGCATATGCTTCTTCGTCGGTCCGACCGGGTGTGACTAAATCGTAATCCACATAGCTGCTCTTCATGCCGTTGAGCACATCAAGGAGGAAGATTCCAGATCCAATAGACTTGTCCTTGAAGCTACGTATCGTGGAAGATTTACCGCCACTGCTAGACATGTCATTAGCCCAGCGGATCATCTCGGTATCAGTAATTTCGCGTTTGCCCAGCCGTTGGGCCAGCGCAGAGAGTGTGTTGGTGATATCGCGGCGCATCAGCTGCCACACCAATCCGAGAGTGAGGGTTCGTTGGCCATCAGTGATATCAGCGCCCTGAACACCGACAAGAGAGAAACCATTAAATTTCCCAAGTTCAATCGAATAATTGGTGTTTTCCACGGCCTTGAACCGCATCAATTCCCCACCAGATGCTGGTGGCTTGTTGACATGTTTCCAGTTCACGCTTCCAGGGATGACCTTGTCATATGCCTGCAACAAAACAGAGCCATCGCGTAGGTCATCGAAGAGCGAGTTGACCGCCGGCTGCACATCCAATGAATTTAACCACAGAGTGAAGACTCTGGCCTCTCGCTCACCCTCGGCGTCAAAATCTTCAACCTCGAGCTTCTCCTCCTCGGTGATAGGGTCCAGTCCTGGGTGGGTGTTGAACAGATTGGCGACAAAGGCAAGGTTCAGCTTGGGGTTTCCGGCAACCAAGGAGGCTGGGGTCAGGAACTTGCGACAATCAAGCGAATCAGCATTCTGGAGGACCTGTTCAGCCCGCTCAAGCAATTCTCGAGTTTGGAGAGGGGCACGCGAGCAAACATCGGGTGCCAATTGGTTAAGGAGAACGGTGTAGTTTTCGCCATCCTTGACATCGGTAGAGAAGTTTGTCACCCTACATCGGTTAGCCACATGTCTTTCTTTGTTTCTCCCTCGGGCAGGACATACCGTCTGTCCCACTTGGCATTCTTGAGATGATAGTTGAACCAACGGAGGAGAATCTGCTCTGGAGGCAAGCGCAAGAACTGCTCGAGAGTTTCATCCTCATCCAAAAGCCTATAAAGCTCCGGGTGAAGTTTGATATCAATCTTTCCAAGAAGACCACGTCGAATAATTTGCCAGATAAGACCCAGAATGAGATGTTCGCGCACTTCAATGATATCTCCGCTTCCAATGTTAACAACTGAGCATCCGATACCCTTGGCAGAGTTAATAACAATGTTATTGTTCTCGGTCATATGGAAAGCATTCAGCTGCTTGATCTTCTTCCCGGCCTTGTTCAAAACACGTTCATCAATGGTGTCTGGTACGCTGTCGTTGATCAACTTTGCCAGGACCAAGCCATCCTTGCACTTATCAAACATCTCGAATGTATCGGTGGGGAAAGGTAGAAGGTTGCCAACGTCCGCATCGCCCGCCAGGACGGCATTGATGTGTCGCGTGAACTCGGTTCGTTCATCTTCGTTGATCGTATGCGTGACATTGGAAGAAGATCCCTGGACATGGATTCGTCCACCCACACTGCCCTTGGAGACATGTCGAGATGCTCCAGTGCCAGCGCCGGCCCCTTGAATCACGGCTGCCGGGGTAGTTGGTGCGCGGGCACCTTCAGTGGGTGCCGTCCGAAGCTTCGAAACGAGCTGCCGTGGCGTTAATATCAGCGGGAGAAAGGGAAGCGGGGAAGTTGTATTACATCGACATAATCTTCGAGTTCCACGCGCCGGGAGCTATCGAGTTCCACATTTTTCAAAGCTGCACGCACCACATCATACGGCTGGCGTTCTGATTGTTGGGCAGCTTTGATGGCGGTTGATTCATCAAGGTAGCCACGGTCCTCGACGTCCAATCTGTTGAATGCATCCTGGAGGGAGAAGATCTCGCCTTGATCAAGCTGCGGGAAACGCCTATAGTAATTGACATGATCAGCATATGGTTGCATTGAATGACAAGGAAATGTACTTCTGAAGCTTGAGAGCGTTCATCTTGTCAGAATCACAGCCCTGGCAAAATAGGTGGGTGATCACCCAGGGAAAGTCCGGGTTTTCGACAAAAAAAAGAGAAAGTAGTGTCCTGGAAAGAGTAAAGAAAGCAGATCAGAAGAGATCCGATACAAGGTGGGCAGTGCAGGGAGGCAGCCAGGTATACAGGAACCGAGGAGGTGGGGGGTGAGCCACGTAATGAAAGTACTTGACGATACAGAGTACATGACACTAGTGGTATCATTGTATAGGAGTGTAAGTATCATGTCAGTAACGCCGTGTTCTTGTCAGGAATCTTCGAATGACGTCGACACCTTTGCATCACATATGTAATGTAGTGTATACATATAGATATATAGTACGTAGTATGTTATGCATATATTCTTTTACTTCTCTTTACTACGTAGAAATATGAGTTTTCGTAAGCCCCTTCACAACCGAGGTAATATTGCACTGGATAACTCTAGTCTTTTCACCAATTCTATAATGAAATGGAATCAACTATAATATTGACAGGACTTTATAATTACAGTGCGTATTTCAAACAGATGTTGATATATATCCCGAATAACATAAGGTTGTTCACGGATACGTAATTGCACGGGATTACATCATTCCAATCTCCAAACATGAACGTTCATTGCTCTAACATTTCATCGGCTTTTTGACGGCTTTTGAAAACGTCTTGTTTCTCCTTTTTTTTTTTTTAATGTCCTTCATACCCTTCCTCAATACAGTTGCTCACGTTGGTTCGTTTCGCTGCCTTCCGACGGGCGCTCCTCCCCATGGCGGGTGAGCAAAAATCGTTCTTGGGGACACTCACCCCATGGAGTACACCAAGAAGTTCAACGCCAACACCGCCTGGCGATCACCAAAAACCAGATGTTCTGCAGCGGTCGCAAGGGGAGGACCACACGGTGACACACATGCATCGATTAAGCATGCGACGCTATCCCCCCGATTGCCCTCCATTAAAAGTCAGGTGGTTCTACGCAGTGGACTCGCCCAAGCGGAAACCATCCATCCTAGGACAGAAAAAGGCAGACCAAAAGCCCTTGCCATCGCCGAAGAAATTCATACCCTTCCCAGGGAAAGATTCCCAGTCCATCGAGACGACGTTTCAGAAACTCTCAGACATCGAAGATGCCCGCCAACAAAACCAGCCAAACGATAGCGAACCTGTATTGTCCAATGTGCCCGTGAATGAGGATTTTCTTTTCAATGTCGATGTGGAACAACGAGAATTGAGTCCCACTTATTGGATTGGCCCTGTATATGAAGTCCGTCGTGGAACGTGGTTCATTCAGGATGGGTCTAGCCTAAAACCATGTGAAGAAAATCTTGCTACCCAGCTTGAAGAAGGCTATATCAAACTGTGTCCCTGGAGGTCCCAGCCACCGGAACATAATTCGCAAACAAACGAACGGGATCAATCTGGTCAGACCAAAAGCGTGTCAATGAACACCAATGAGCCAGACCCCAAACCCCCTCAATCAGCCAACCCGAATGCTCCTCCCCGTGGCATAGGGAATGATTCCAACGGCCCTACAATGGAACCTCAACAGTATCGTCTTTTTGGCGCTTACATGAATAGAATAGTCGGTTATCAAGATTCCACGACAGCCTGGCTGATGAATGATGATTTCATGTCACGCTTCAGTACTTCGGTGTATCAAAAGTTAGGAGGGGTTCCAGGAACGAAGTTAGTTCGAGGTTTTGAGCCTAGGAAGCCAAAAGAGATATCAGAAGCAAAGGGTTCCAAACAAAAACCACTGGGCGAGTCAACACCTACCAGAGGATTGAATGATGCCTTGAAAGAAAAGGCTGAAAAAGCCACGGATACCCTCAAGTCGACCGCAGCTGATGGATTCGAAGGCTACGAAAGTATACCGAAATCAACATTAGAACGCCAAATGTCCTCCCTTGCGGGTGAGCCACAAAATCCAGCTGACCTCGAAGAACAGGCTCGTAGGCAGGAGGAACAGGAGATGGAAGAGTCGAGAGAACTGGATGACTCGGACAGAGAGCGCGAGGTTGATCATCTAGTTCTTGTCACCCATGGAATTGGTCAGCGACTCGGTTTACGACTGGAAAGCATTAATTTTATACATGATGTAAATGTGCTTCGCAAGACGCTGAAAACCGTTTACAAAGGCTCGCCTGACCTTCAAGCATTGAACTCAGCGCTCCCAGACAGCGATAAAAATTGCCGTGTTCAAGTGCTTCCTGTGTGAGACTGACTCCTTCGCTCGGAATTTCTTTTTTTACTAATTTCATCAGGTGCTGGCGTCATCTTCTAGACTTTCCTTACCGAGGAGTTCGACAGAACAGAAAGGAACTCGATCTCACAGATGCAGATGCTCTCGAGGATGATGCTTACCCCAGCCTGTCCGATATAACACTGGAAAGTGTACCTGCTGTTCGAAACCTCATTTCAGATTTGGCTATGGATGTACTTCTGTACCAAAGCAGGTATTGTGAACACATCTCCAATATTGTCATTCAAGAATGCAATCGAATCCTCCGGCTGTACCGGAAGCAAAACCCTTCTTTCAAAGGGTCAGTCAGTCTCTGCGGCCATTCGCTTGGAAGCGCGATTCTATTCGACATCTTATGTCACCAGCCGGACACCAATACCAGGCAGAATGGTGCCTCCAAGGGAATGGCTCAAGAGAGCGATGACTCAACTCCCAAGGGTTCGAGTGCGTTTGATTTTGACTGTGAAGAGTTTTTCTGTCTGGGGTCCCCCATTGCACTCTTTCAAATGCTCAAGGGTAAGACGATTGGTGGATACTCTGCCTTGGATCCCCGAAATCTTAAAAATTCTCTGGATGTTGAGATCGACTTGGACTCGCATGGTCCTGGGCATGCGCTCAGCGATAATCCCGGTATCATCTCAACACCAAAATGTCGAGATCTCTATAACATCTTCCATCCTTCTGACCCGGTGAGCTACCGGGTCGAGCCTCTGATATCTCCAGCGATGGCAACCCTGAAACCCCAGCCTCTACCCTCGGTGAAGAAAAGCCTCTGGACGACCTCTGGTCAGAGTCTATCTATTCTCGGTAGCCGCATGGGCCAAAGTGTGGGATCTCTGTGGACAAATTTCACCACGGGTGTCGCAAGCAGTTTGTTGAACCGCAGCTTGGGTCTAAATGGCGATGACGCCTTGTCGGCTACTCGCACTTCTGGTAAACCAGGGGACGAATCAACCCATAGACGGTCACAGTCAGGTTCGACTCAGCATGAGTCCGAGGGATCCGATGATCACTACCAGACATTGATCGATTCCGATCTGGAAACTCTTTATGATGGTTTCCAAAAAAGCAGGAGTGTCCATCATGGCGAGAGTCCAGATCCTGATGCCGACACCAACCAAGACCGGAAGCTGAAATTCGAAGACGCTAAAGTGCGTGCCTTGAATGCAAACGGTCGTGTGGACTACAGCATCCAAGAGTAAGACCCTATGCCCTGCATTGTTGAACCTTATTAACAGGGATATAGGGGAGCCTTTGATATTTCATTAATAGCCAGCATTGCTAGTCATCTTACCTATTGGGGAGATGAGGATGTCAATCACTTTATGCTTTCCCAGATGCTTTCTAGAAGACAGAGGCATAAACAAAAACATAGATGAAACTCCGAAATATACTACACTATCTAAAGAGTCAGTCTTTTAACTAGGCCTGCCTCCCTGCCTCCTGTCCACGGGGCGAGTATGGATGTACTTTGTAATTACTTAGTAAGTATCCCCAAATAGGACTAGTTAACTAACTAGTTAGCATCCAGTCGGTTAAGTATTAGGTAATCTAACATTCCCTACAAAGTTTTTCATTTTTCTTTCTTTCTTTCCCTTCTTTCCGTGTCCATTTCTCACAATCCAACCTTTCGGGTTGAAAAGCTCTCTTCATCCTTTCCTAGAATCCTATGAATTTCTTCTTAATGAGGTTGAAATTTATTGTCTTGGATTTTATGGAAGCGGCTTCAAGATGAACACAAGAGGACTGGTGATTGTGGCCACATCTCATGTCATCACACGATGATGGGGGTTTCCTCTGTAGAACACGTCCCTTTTCCTCTCTCCCAACCGCATCCTTTACATCTGGCATGAAGCGCATGCTCTTTGAATGCTTAGATTCACTCTGATAGCGGAGATCAACTCCTTTCTGTTTAGCTTTAGATTCCTTACTATACAGCCCAATGCTTGTAAGGAAATCATGATTGGATACATACAATATACACATACATGTTTTAGCTATTATTATTTGAATACGTACGGAGTACTCCGACGCCCATCCTACCATATCCATAATCTTCTTATACCGAGTACGAGGTACGCACTGGCCAACGATGCCAAGCATTTCGCTATCCCTTATCTTCTTGCTCTATTTTAATTGTCTACCCCGTACTCCGTACACAGATCTACGTCACCATTAAGCTTGACGAAATGGAGGGTTGACTACAATTACTCTGGACATCCAAATCTGGGATCTCTCGTCACAATGAGTCGACTCAATGATGACTCCCAAGTCATTTCTGGCAAAGACCACAATACTCCCCCGACGCGCCCCATCTCGAATCAAGTGATTTCAAAAGAACTCACCGATGCTACCCTCAACTTTCTCTCCACCTCTACCAATGAGACCCTCCTTGGAGTCTTTGCGCTTCTTGCACTCGTCACCTACATTATCCTAGGGAGAATAGGTCTGCTTCTGATTGGAGTGGCTGTGGGGGTTGTCCTACACGCGTCCTGGGAGGGATCGGGTATTGTACATGCAGACGGAGCGTCACACGCAAAAACGCTCAACAGGCGAAGAGAACTTGCGCTGGAAGTTTCCAACAGGCTTTTGGACTGGCCGAAGCGGGCTGGTGCTTCAGACATCCAGGGGGGTGGCGATGGTTCTATAAGTACGCTGGAAGATATGTCATCGGCAGACTTGGAATATGCCACCTTCCAACCAGCCACCGCTGTCGCATTGAGAACGCTCACTGATGCAGTTGTAAAAGATTATGTCAGGTAAGTATCCTTCATCTATCCCCCTTCTCCCATCGTGAAACAAGTAGCTTACCCCAAATATAGATACTGGTATGAGCCACTTTTACCGTCCGAATCAATTTTCCCGAGTTCTTGTCGACGACTTTTAACGCATCTCATTACATCGGTCTCCTCGCACCTCTCGCGGAAACGAACAGAGGACACATTCTTGCAATTTCTCACCAACTCCTCATCTATCGTCATTGTATTCTTGAATGAACTTGCAGCAGCATTCACGGCCGCGGGCTCCCCGGTGGAGGCTCAAAAGGCTGTGGATCAGTACCTTGAACAATTTCCTGATAGCAGCCTAGCGAATGTCTTATCTGAGAAACAACAAAAGAAGAAACTTGGCATGATTGCGGATGATATACTGTCGAATTTCTTGGATTCGAAGACCTACAATTGTCCGGCTGTACGGGACTTCCTCCGTGAGGTTTTTGCAGGAGTGGTATTGGGGTCCACTATTAACAATCTTGCCCGTCCAGAATTTATCAATGAATGGATTATCTATCTCCTGCAGGGCGGCGAGTCTGAAATCATGCATGCTATCGACGCCGGCGTTGAAGGCGCACGGAACCAAGGCGTTAGTGCTCCCAGGTCTTCAGAAGACCCAAACACAGACTCCGTGAAAGCCACACAGAGAGATTCCATGCATGTGGCAAAGGCTACAGAGGAAGAAGCAGTTTTAGAGGTGAAGCGCCTAAGCGCTATGATTGCATCCCATGATACGCAGAGCTCGGGATCAGAAAAGCCTCCCCAAAACGAACAAATTGACGAAATTGACGCTTTGAAGGCTGGTCTGGCTTCAAATACGACTCATGAAAATGAAGATCACCATAACCTGGGAGCAGTGCCCAATATGCAATTATCTGCGAGCCGGAAACTTTCCGAGGACTCTTCTGCGCCACCTTTGATTCTTCATGGAGCACAAGTGTTGGTGGATGATGACGGGGCGAGGGATGAAAAAGGCCAGATCAAGTCGCGACCCATGTGGGATTATCTACTACAGGTCGAGCCAGCGTCAACACGATCGACTGGGTGGATGGTTTTTCGCAAATATTCAGAATTCCAGTCTCTTCATGAGATGTTGGGAACCGTTTCACGGTTGAATCAGATTTCAAGCTTCTCGGAGCGTCACCCCATACTGCCCACCTGGAAGGGCAAAACACGACAAGCTCTCGCTCGGGACCTTGAGTGGTATTTACAAGATGCCATGAAGCACGAGTCCCTTGCCGACACTGATCGAATGCGTCGATTTTTGGAAAAAGACGCTGGTTCATCCTCCGATCTCACCGGTCCTAACAAACCGGTATTCTCTTTCCCTAGTCAAACTGCATTTGAAAACATGGGCAAGGGTATGCTAGGTGCATTGACCAATGCGCCCAAGGGAGTGGCAGGAGGCAGTAAAGCTGTTTTTGGAGGAATGACGGGGGTGTTCGGAGGTGCCACCAATGGCAAGAAACCGGCCGTCGCTGCTGATCAGGTGCAACCCAAAGTTGATCACTCCAGTCGCAGCAGTTTGTCACAGACACGATCCAGCTTTGGTGATCGCAACATGGTAATTAACGAAAGTGTTGATTCGCCTGTGGTGTGCCCTAGCGACTCCCTGGAGATCCAAAGAGGCGAAATTCCCAAGTCGCCTTCGACTGACAGTACTAGAGAGTCGATTGTGAATGAGCAAGGTGTATGGACCACCGAGACCTCACCATCTAAAACCTCGCTTGATGTCAGCAATCATAATGCAGAACTTGACGTCCAGGCGACGGAAACCTCACCACATCGCCGATCAGAGACTGGTCATAGTATTGATCAACCCCGCAAGCAAGGGAATCCCATCACAGCTGATGAGACGCAAATAGCAGTAGAGCTGATCTTTGCGGTGATCAATGAGTTGTACACCTTGTCGTCCGCGTGGAACATACGCCGGACCCTTTTGAATGCTGCCAAATCGTATATCCTACGTCCCGGGAGCCCGACATTGGAAACCATTCGTACTCTGTTGCAAGAATCCATGATAGAAGGCCACACTTCAGATGACGCCCTCGGGGATTATCTCGTTAAGCTTCGTGAGAATACGCTTCCGACGGAGGAGGAACTTAAAACCTGGCCCGCTCCACCCAGTGAAGAGGAGAAGAACCGGCTACGGGATACTGCACGTAAACTATTCGTGCAGCGAGGAATCCCACAGGCCTTAACAAGTGTTATGGGGGCGGCTGCTAGTCGAGAAGCCCTTGAGAAGATATTTGATAGTCTCCAAGTTGAGAGTGTCGCTCGGGGATTTGTTTTTTCAATTCTACTACAGGGCCTGAGAGTCTTGACTCTCTAACAATAGATCATATTTGGAATATACATGAATGAGAGAGCAAGAGTAACAAGTGTCAATATATATATCTATGGATATAGATTAGCTTTCACGTGATGAAGTGCCCGTGTTTCGCGTTCGTGTTTGGACACAACTTCCCATCTTCTTACGTTCTTCCCTTCTTCCCTTCTCACAACCAGACTAATATCATCTATCAGTCATGACATCCAGGAAACGTTCACCTGAGTCAGGTGCTGGCCTTGACAGCGTCCGCCCCAAAAAGGCCAAGGTCAACACTACAGCGGAAACCAAAACCGATTCTAATGGAGATCGCTATTGGGAAATATCCAAGATGCGCCGCGTGACCATATCTTCTTTCCGTGGGAAAACTCAGGTGAATATCAGAGAATACTATGAAAAGGACGGGCAGGAGTTGCCAGGAAAAAAGGTTAGTTGATCGGTGACGTTTTATATAAACCGTGCTAATGTTAAATTCCTAATTCAGGGTATTTCAATGCCCGTGAATCAATTCGCTGCCATCGTCTCCATTCTACCTGAAATCGAACTGGCACTGAGAGAAAACGGGGAATCCCTGCCTCGGCCTGTCTACTCGCCAGAGGGAGGCCAATCTGATAAAGGAGAGCAAGGAAAGGACCATTCGGACAACCAAAGTCCATCAAAGCAGAATATCGAGGCAACAAGTGACGAGGAGAGTGAAGCATAAAGCTGCACAAAAATTTATTTGTGTTTCTCATAATTGGCCCTTGTAACTTTGTCATAATCAAATTGATCTTGACCGTTTGAATCAAACCATGGTGTGGTCTGGGCTTACTCCCCAATTTCCTTATAGATCACATACTCGCCTCTTGCGTTGCCATGTTGTTGGCGATAGAACCTCCCCGCCAAGCATGACGATGATCTTTCTCATGGAGAAGCTGGCTCTGGTCTCCGACTTGACCCCATCCTCCTCCTCCTGGTGTACGGACAATGATCCGCTCCCCTGCTTGCATCTGAGCGGAATTCTTCGCCCCGAGGCTGACATATTTTCTCTCCCAGCTTCCATCTTGCTTTTTGACGCGGCGTACCCAGATGTTCTGACCACAGCGGGCGTCCTCGCCTCCCTTCAATCCATATGGGTGGTAGACTCTTCGCTCGGAAAGGATCGAGACTTGCACTGGAATGCGGAATTCAATGTCTCGCACAACGCCATCCCCGCCGCGGTTTTGACCATTGCCCCCTGAATTCGGTCGCAGACTGAATTCTCGGAGGATCACAGGGTATCGCCGCTCAAACACCTCTGCATCGGTGATTCGGGTGTTAGTCATGTGTGTATGAACCCCCGAAGTCCCTTCCCAAGTTGGACCAGCCCCGCTACCGCCGGCGATGGTTTCATAGTAACCAAACCCTTTCGTTTCCGTCTCACCGGGCATATTCCCTCCGAGCCCAAAGGTCAGGTTGTTGGTATCACCCTGTGATGCAGCGCAAGCCTGGAAGCACCTCAAAATGACATCGGTCACTCGTTGACTCTGAGAAAAACGATAAGCCTATGATCGATGTTAAGTATTTGTCAGGTCTTACCGTCAAAACATTGCCACCCACCACAGCAGCTGATTCCGAGGGGGATAGAAGACTTCCAGGAGGAATTCGAACGTCAATTGGCTTTAAACAACCCTGATTCAATGGGATATCTGCTGAAATAAGGCACCTCAGGCAATAGATGATCGCTGAGTATGTGACAGCCTCCGGTGCATTGATATTGCCTGTCATTGTCAGCTCAATAAATATTAGTATTTCCCCTTCAGGGCCACTCAATCATACCATATACTTCTGGGCCTGTCCCCTCGAAATCAAAAACTGCTTCTCCTTTGTCCTCGTTTATTGATATCTTCAATTGGATAGGGCTCCCGTCATCCATGTAATCAATAGCACTCAGGTCTTGACCAGCAAACCTCTTGCTCACATCTTTCAGTAGATTACGCACGCTGAGCTCTGCATTGTCTTGGATCTGGTGCATATAGAACTGCACGGCAGCCTCACCATACTCCTCGATCAGAGTGCTGATCAAGTTGATCCCTTTCTTATTTGCAGCAATCTGAGCCTTGAGATCATTCAAGTTATCTGCTAGGCATCGAGTGCCACTGCAGTTTGGATACTGGGCCGGCTCTTTGTACAGCAATTCTGTGATGCGTTCCTCATCAAACCTGCCTTCTGATACCAATTTTTCGCTCTTGATAGCTGCGCCTTCTTGGTAAAGCTCCTTTGAATGAGGTGGCATAGATCCCGGGAGTATTCCTCCAATATCAGCTTCATACAAGTTAGAATATCTGTTCCTTTCTTCCCCCCTCCTCTCTTTCACTCGGGGAAAAGGTCTTACCATGATGCGCCCTAGAGGCGACGTAGAATATGATTTTTCCCTGGCTAAAAGCAGGCTGTAGGACCGTGATATCTGGGAGATGAGTTCCCCCAAACTCCGGGTGATTTGACACGATTACATCTCCGGGCTTCAATTTATCTTGCCAGATCTGGGCCTGTATCCGTACACAGGTCGACATGCTACCGAGATGAACAGGCAAATGTGGCGCATTCGCAACAAGCCCACCTTCTGCGTCGAACAATGCGCAGGAGTAGTCAAGCCTCTCCTTTACATTGGTGCTTACACTTGTCTTCTGTAAAGCACGTCCCATTTGCTCGGCAATAGCCATAAATCTGTGCGAGAAGACGCTCAGCAGGATAGGATCCACATTGTCAGTGCTAATCTTTGGCTGGCTGGCATCGGATTCACCAATATTGATGATGACATGGGTTTTTGTCAAGAGTGCTGAAGCCCCCGGGGTCACCACGATTGTTTGGGTATCATCGGCTAAAATGGCAGGGCCTCTCACTCGGTCATCAACATTCAAGTCGTCGAGCTTGTAGATTAGTGTTTCATGTCGACCGCCCTCGAAGTACACAAGTGATTTGCGATATTCCCGACCCGTCACGTCCTTTGGGCTGGACTCCTGGATCTGCTGGTCCACAGTTTTCTCGGATATTTTGCATCCTTTCCCGATTCCTCTCACCCGCACGTCATCCACAATGATGTCCCGGTCTGGAAGAGTAAAACCAAATTCTTGATCGTGTTGCTTCATAAATGCCTTCCCAAAGGCCCATTCGTCGCCCTCGAAGTGAAGATCGGCCTCCTCTTTGCTGGGCTTGAGTATCATCAAAGCAGATTCTGTGCCTCGATATCGCATATTGAGGTATTCTTCAAACACGATTGAATCATTGTTAAACCCTTGGTCTTGCAACCTCTGCGTGGATCGTTTCTTCAAGTATTCTATTCTCGAAGCAAGTGCATCCCTAGCCCCTGACTTGCCATTGTCAACCCAAATCTTTGATTCAGGCTCTTGGTTTTCATCGACAACGTCTGCTAGTGCCATTCCGTATGCTGAGAGCACCGAGGAATACCGATGGATCAAAATCTGCCGAATCCCCAGACTCTCAGCAATGGCAACGGCATGCTGGCCTCCGGCTCCTCCAAATGTAGCCAATCTGTGTCTTGAGGTGTCATGTCCCTTGGCCTCTGTCAGAGATCGAATGGGTCGGGTCATCGTCTCGTTGGCTATCTTGATAAAACCAAAGGCAACCTCGTCAGGGGACATTTTTCGGCTTTGGCCCCCTTCCGTCAACTTTTGGTTGATTTCTTTGGTTAGTTCCTCAAACAACACCCGACTAGCTTGTTCATCCAATCCTTGGGTTTCATCTGAGCCAAAAATCTTTGGGAAGAAATCTGGGACCAACCGCCCAAGGAACAGATTGGCATCGGTCACTGTGAGTGGTCCAGCCTTGCGATAGCACGCGGGCCCCGGATGGGCTCCTGCGGACTCGGGCCCAACGACGAAGAGATCGTTACGGTAAAACAATCTCGAGCCGCCACCTGCAGCAACAGTGTTGATATCTAACTGAGGAGACTGAATTGTCACCCCAGCGGTGGTTGTCTCAAAGACATGTTCGTACCGACCCGATCCGTATCTGCTAACATCCGTGCTCGTCCCTCCCATATCAAACCCTATTACGGGGATCTTTGACACAGGATCGTAGGAAGTCAACGCATAACCCACCACCCCGCCAGCAGGTCCCGATAGAATTGCCCGGAGCCCTGAAAATTGGTCCACGTCCACAAGGCCGCCGTCCGATTGCATGAACTCACAACGTGCGCCTTTGGCGCCCGTCTGCTGTTTCACACTCTCACTGCCTAGGCCACCCTCGAACCCAGCTTGAAACCCAGAGATATACTTCTTGATGGCAGGGGTCAAGTATGCATCGGCGCAAGCTGAAGTGGTCCTCGGCACAAGTTTAATCATCGGCATGAGCTGGTGGCTCAAACTCACATGGTGGAAACCAAGATCCTTGGCTATTCTTCCCACCAGTGCCTCATGGTCCGGAAAAGTATACCCATGTATAAGACATACTGCTATGCTTCTAATGCCGTGACTGTATACCTCTTTCAACTGCGATCTCACCAAGCCCTCAGATGGACGTTTCAGTATACGAACTGCTTCCGAAGAAAGGCCGCGAACAACATCGGCTTCTGTCTGGGTATGTTCCCGTGGAGTAGTGGTAGTGGAGTTTCGTTGCGGATCTTCTGCGTAGTCTTCCAAGGTGACGCGCTCATCCACCTCAACCACCTCTTCGTAAAGAACATCGGGACGTTTGATGGCAAGGTCAAATATTCTGGGACGAGACTGATTTCCAATCTTAAGGCAGTCTTTGAAACCCTTACTTACCACCAGTGCTACCTTCTCCCCCTTCCGTTCGAGCAGCGCATTTGTAGCCACGGTTGTTCCCATGCGGATGCTCTGGATCAAAGAAGTATCGATGGGTTCCCCGCGAGGGATTTCATGGCCTGTTAATTTGGAAAGAATGCGCCGAATGCCCTCCAAAGGTGCATCTTTGTAGTTGCTGGGGTCTTCCGAGAGCAATTTAATCACAATGTCATCTTCCAAGTGGCCCGTTCCTGGATTTCCAACGCAATCTGTAAATGTTCCACCTCTCTTTTGACATGTCAGTGTTCTGGATAAGTAGTGAAAGGGAAGAAGGCTTAGTACATCGATTGCAATACTGATTCCTTGTGTTGAACTCATAGTAGAAAAGTAATCGAATGTTGAAGTACAACAAACAATTGGGGGGGGAGTTTTTTGAATAGACCCCCGCAGATATCCTACGTCATGACTATGGCAACTTTCAAAATGGATTTGAGAATGTTTGCATTTTGCTTTGATTAAAAAAAGCTGTCGAACTGCTTATGGCTCCCATTACCTCTCACGTACAACTAAGGTACTACAGTGGTTCGGATAGAGACCACATAGTATGACGATCGGTCGGGGGCGAGGAAATTGAAATAATCGGTTTCAAATTAAATTGCGAACAAGACGGAGGGCGAAACGGAATTCATCGTGGTATTTGGGCGCGGACTTGGAACGATCGCTCGACGTTCGCTTCGGTGGGATCCGAGCTGCTGACCAGGATAAATTACCAACCTCAAAAAATAAAAATGGGAATAACTCGGGGAAAAGCAAAATCGAAAAAAAGTAGGGGAAGCAGGGGTCACACGTTCACTTGGCCCCCGGCTTATCCCGAAGAGCAAGCTTCACGCCATTTCAAATCAGAAACAAAGAAGGGGGACGAAATACGAGATATGCCAGATGTACCGAGGCAACACTGAGGTGATGACCCTGTCTCCCCCATCCCCCTGGTTGGCACAACCACAATGGAGGACAACGTCCAGAAGACGAAAACAGAATGACAGGAGACATGAGTCGAGAGCGGAAGAACGTAAGACTGAGTTGATCTACTCAGCAGTATCGAGCTCGTCATGAGCAGAGGGCATAGGGTCCAGGGGTACTGCAGTGTGTGAGTGAAAAGAACATTTTCTAGGCTATATTTCGAGGCAACTGACCTTTCCTGTCCTCACCGTTGGGGCCGTTCTCACGGTCCTCCTCACGACGCTCCCGATCATCATCGCGTCTTTCCCGGTCATCCTTGCCATCACGTTCGCGGTCATCGGGGCTGCGAGAGCGATCACGAGAACGGTCGCGATCACGCCGATCGTGATCACGGTCACGGCGGTCAGAATCACGGTCGCGACGGTCGTAATCGCGGTCAGTGCGGTCGGCGTCCCGTTCGTACCGATCGTCTCGGCGAGGGGAATAGTCGCCGCCACGGCTACGACGAGGGGATGGGGAGCGACCACGGCGAGGAGGAGTGCGATCACGGCGACGATCACGGCCAGTATCGCGGCCAGCGTCACGGGGAGCGTCACGGCCAGAGCCAGAGTCAAAGCGCCAGGAAGCAGAGGGAGGAGTGCGTGCCCACTGGAGATAGGTTAAAAGAAAATCAAGCAAACGTTGGAGGATATGCTTACCTCAATCTTCAACAAATCATCGCGGCCAATGCGCTTGTTGTGCATCTCATGGTAAGCATCATCGGCATCGCGGCGGCTTTCGTATTCAACGAAAGCAAAACTAGGCAATTTAGATTAGATAGGTAAAGTGGTTTTAGATATTATCATTCAACTCACAGTCGGCTGGAGGGAGTGCGCGGGGCAGGGATATCACAGCGAACAAGACGCCCATAACTAGTTTCAAAATCAGTTGAGCTAGCTTCGGGTACCGGTATCAAGAGAAATTATGATGACCAAGACTAGCTAACAGTTGCCCAAGGAGTGAGACGGGGCAATGTAGACACAAGCTTCCATGTCAATGTCACGCTAGTTGGGAGAAAGAAAGAAGAGTGCCGTCCAAGGCATTGCCATTTGGTCTTCATCGGGAGGTCGTCGGAATGGGGATCGAGGTTCGTAGGTGCGAAGGTAGAGGCGACACGTACCGTTCGAATTCGTAGGCAAGATCGCGAGCACGGGTGCCATGGCCAAACCCGGTAACATACAATGTAGTTCCAGAGCGAGAAGACATGGTGCCGTTAGCACAGAGCAATGGAAAAGAGAGAAGATTGGGTCAGTTGGGAAAGAATTTGAAAGAATTTGAAAGGAAAGGTGGAGCTTAGGAAGCTTCAAGAGGATTAAAGAGTATAAGGAAGAGAGAGAGAGGGAAAGAATTTAGGAAGGTGCTACGGTGGATCAAATGTGCCAATGACGCACTTGATGAAAGGAGTTTCAATTTCTTTTTATAATTTCTATTTATTTTTCAAGATGGTGTATTTTTTTTAAATATTTCATTTACAAATAGAAACATTTTAAAAAAAATCCAAGAAAAAGATTTGGTCTATGGATGTTGAAGATCTAGGCATATAACGAAGACTCATACTTAGACCTAAGGCACAGGTACGTAATATAAGTGGCGGGCTATCGGGAGGTACCGTGTCTGTCGGTAAGTCGGGATGTTCTTCTCTTTTCTAAACCTCGTGAAGCACCTCGAACTCAGGTATACACACCACTCTTGTGTGATCTGTGACACCTTTCTCTTGTTTACTGTTTCTTGTGAATTGTTACTTGTTTCTTCCTGTTCAACTACACATCTACGTTGAAGTGGAAAAGGCAACTCCGGCCCCAACAACTCATCTGATCATAGCAAAGCCCTTTCTTTTTGACCTTGCCTCACCTTTTTTCCCTTCTTTTTTGAAACTCCACTATCCGCATTACCTTTTATACCTCAGTTATATGGTCATTGAAACCAACAATACACCACTGAACTCAGGATCAGCGATGTGCTTTTAGATCACCAAGCCTCGGAAGACAACCAACCTTCATGGCTAGCACTACACTCATAGTGCTTTATCGCATTTGATTTGCAGCAACAATCAAGCTTCAATTTCTTACCCAAAGAATCGCGAGAAATCATTACACCACAGATCATAAAGGACTTCTTTATCAACGTCAGATCCGGATGTGCATACCGTCAAGATGAGCTTAGATCGCCAGGATGCTGTTCAAAAAAATGAGTTGGGGGGTGCAGCAAAGCCTGCCTTACAGAATCTGTCTAAGTTTCCCTCTGGTTCAAATCCAGTCAAGGTGAGAAGGATAATAACCTGACATCCCCCGTCTATTTGAGCTAGGAGGCTGACTTGATTAAAGCAGGAGCTGATTAATGAGCAACCTCCCTCAGCTTGGGTTCGTACTAGAAAGAACCTCGCTGAACCAGTGGTGGCTGCATTTATGGCTGGTGGAGTGGCTGGCGCAGTTTCCAGGACGATAGTGTCACCACTCGAACGGTTGAAAATTCTTCTTCAGATTCAAAGTGTCGGTCGAACAGAATACAGACTGTCAATCTGGAAAGCCTTGGTGAAGATGGGGCGGGAAGAAGGCTGGCGGGGCTTCATGCGAGGAAATGGAACAAACTGTATTCGCATTATCCCCTACTCTGCGGTACAGTTTGGGAGCTATAATTTTTACAAGCAAGTAGGTGGATGTTCATATCCTGTAGTAGGTTTCGATGCAAACTGACACCTCTTTGATCTAGTTTGTAGAGTCTCCCGATGGTGAGATGACACCGATGCGTCGCCTTATTTGTGGAGGTGTTGCCGGCATCACCTCGGTGACCATCACCTATCCTTTGGACATTGTTCGAACCCGGCTTTCCATCCAATCCGCTTCATTTGCCGACCTTGGGACAAGAGACCCAGGCCAAAAACTGCCAGGCATGTTCACCACAATGGCCATGATCTATAAAAATGAAGGTGGGACAAAGGCTTTATATCGTGGAATTGCTCCTACTGTGGCTGGAGTCGCCCCATATGTAAGTTGTCTGTTTAATTTGACTTGATTACAACTGACAAGCGCCAGGTGGGACTCAATTTTATGACCTACGAATCGGTGCGCAAGTATCTGACACCGGAAGGTGACAAAAACCCTAGCTCCTATCGAAAATTACTGGCTGGCGCGATATCTGGAGCAGTCGCCCAGACATGTACCTATCCTTTGTCAGTCCTTTAATTCTATTGGCCAAGCCCCATGGAACTGACTTTTCCTTAGTGATGTGCTACGCCGGCGATTCCAGATCAATACAATGTCGGGAATGGGTTACCAATACACCTCGATATGGGATGCTGTGAGGGTCATTGTGGCCGAAGAGGGACTACGTGGACTCTTCAAGGGGATAGGGCCGAATCTTTTGAAAGTTGCTCCTAGTATGGCCAGTAGCTGGTTGAGCTTTGAACTGACTCGTGATTTCTTCGTCAACTTGAATGATAGAGAATAGTTCAAATAATGTGTACTTAGATCTTTTCATTTTTTTATTATGCACATTTTATTGTACACAATGCATATGTATATGTACATTGAAAAGAAAAGTATCTGATACGTTGTAAATCAATGATGAATATGGAGTCATGCCATTGAAGATAAGGTTCATTTCAGGGCTGGAGCGAAGTCTCTGAGGTGGATCCATGTATCACGTGATTATGTGGCTAGTTAAATGCGAGGTCACGTGGCTATAGTGAAGTCATGTGCCTCGCCTTTCCTAGTCAAGTCTAGCGTAGGGCTAAACCCACACACCACTGTCCAGCCGAAAGTCAAGGATCAAAAACCTCCTGCACTTTCCATACGGGTGCGACAGCAAGCTATTTCCCGGGAAGTCGATCAATACACAGCCATGGGTATGTTCAATCATCTCCGTTCACTCGCCTATCGCATCTCGCAGCATTCATTCGAACCCATTTTCTTTTTTTGTCGTTCTCGGTCCATTCCACTGACAATTTATAAATCGCAGGTATCGACCTGGACCGCCACCATGTGCGGAGCAGCCACCGCAAGGCTCCCAAGAGCGACAACGTCTACTTGAAGGTTCTGGTGAAGCTCTACCGCTTCTTGGCTCGTATGAAACCCCCGATTCCGAATTTCGTTTGCAGCGCAATTTCTCCAGGTGTGTCGTTTTGAGGATTTATGTGGCTGATATGGGATGCATGATAGGCCGCACCGAGTCCAACTTCAACAAGGCCGTTCTCCGCCGTCTCTTCATGTCGAGAATTAACCGCCCCCCGGTTTCCCTTTCTCGCGCTGTCTCCAACATCAGCGAGGCACAGAAGGGCAAGACCGTCGTCGTTGTCGGCACCGTCACCGATGACAACCGCCTGTTGACCGTCCCCAAGCTGTCGATCGCTGCCCTCCGTTTCACCGCTACCGCTCGCGCTCGCATTGAGAAGGCTGGTGGTGAGACTTTGACTCTGGACCAGCTTGCTCTCCGCGCTCCTACCGGTGCCAACACTCTCCTCCTGCGTGGACCTAAGAACGCTCGTGAGGCCGTGAAGCACTTCGGCTTTGGTCCTCACACCGACAAGGTGCGTTATTTCGACTGGGAAATGAAATGGTATACAAATTTGCTGACTCAAAACAGAAGCCTTACGTGGGTAGCAAGGGCCGCAAGTTCGAGCGGGCTCGTGGTCGCAGACGTTCCAAGGGTTTCAAGGTTTAAGGGACTTGATAAGGATGATGCGGTGTGTATGTATTGTGAAAGATACATTAGCCACATTGACTTTCTCGGTGCCTGGAATCATTCCAGATCTAGCCAGAGACCTCAAGTCTGTGTACTTAAAAGTGGCGGGATGCCTTTGGTTGGACTGGGAAATGAGAATTTACGAATGAAGGGGCAAAAGAAAATTGAATCAGGCTTTGTCCTAAGTTTTTTTCTTATGGGATTTTTCAAACAAGAAAACAAGAAAAAAAATCTGTTCTAAAATGATATTCTCTTATGCGTCGCACTAAGGAACCAATCACTGGTCTATGGGCAGATTAGTATGGAGATATTTCTTCCCTCCTTCCCCATCATAGTCGGCTGCCCTGTGACCGTTTCCCCGGATTAAGTACTTGTAGATGGTCAGGCCCTCAAGTCCAACGGGTCCTCGTGAATGAATCTTGTTGGTGCTGATGCCAACTTCTGTACCAAATCCAAACCGCATGCCATCGGCAAATCTAGTAGATGCATTCCAGAAAACACCCGCACTGTCAATTCCGCTCATGAACATGTCCGCCGCCTCTTTTGACCGAGTCAAAATGATCTCTGTATGCTTGGATGAATGCATATTTATATGGGCAATGGCAGCCTCCACGGCCGTGATCGGAGAGTTAGTCGACGGAATGGTTTTCACTGCCAACACAAGGTCCAAAAATTCAGTGTTATAGTCGGATTCGGTGGCAGTTTGTAATTGCGCTGATTTCTCGGCTGGCAATGTCTTTTTCAGTGCAGATTTTGAATCAGGATCACAACGAAGAGTCACGCCTTTCTCTAGGAGAGCAGCAGCTACCGCTGGGAACACCGATTGAAGGGTGTCCTCATGGACAAGCAAGGTCTCCAATGAGTTGCATGCCGCTGGATAGTTCGTTTTCGAATCCACAATCACTTTCACAGCGGTATCGATATCGGCATCAGCGTGTATGTAAGCAGAACAAAGGCCGTCGGCATGTCCAAGCACAGGGATTTTCGTATTATCCTTCACGAAACGGACAAGTTCGTTGGAACCTCGAGGAATGACCAGGTCAATCAACGAGTCCTGGGCCAAGAGAGAAGACACTGCATCGCGTGTCTTGACCAGCTGGACCGATGATACTGGCACTCGAGATTCGGCGATAGCTTTGGAGACAACGTTCGCGATTGCCGCAAACGATTCCATGGATTCCTTCCCGCCTGCAGATTTACATTAATTATACAAGCTCATGAAACCTTATCAGGGCGTACGTGTACCTTTCAGAATAGCAGCGTTACCTGACTTGATAGCCAACGCAGCGATGTTTGCTATTACCTCTGGACGGGCCTCAAAGATAATCAGTAGCACACCGATAGGGCAGCTGACTCTCTCGAGGGTCAGACCATCGTCGAGGAGGGTTCGCAGTGTCACTTTGCCAACTACGGTTGTATTATGTTAAGTTTTGTCTCAATGATCGAAGCTCAAAGATTAAAAGGACACTTACTGGGGTCATCCAAATCTCGCACACTCAAGATTCCATCAAGCATGTCTTTGTATTTTCCAGGTCGCGACAGATCAAGTCTCTTGAGCACGCTATGACTCAAATTCCCGCTCTCGGCCGCAATAGTAGCAATTTCCACATCCTTAGCATTGGCTGCAAGGATATCTTTCTTGTTCGTTTCCAATGCATCATGGAGCAACGTCAGAGCTTTGTTGCGGTCATCGTTGTTTAAGGTTGCAAGGCGACGGGAGGCAAGTGATGCGCTATGGGCGACATCAATTGCTCCAGATTCAGTCAATGACATATCAAATAATCTCCGCTCCTGTACGGATTAGACAACAAGTGTAGAAAAGAAGTGAAAGCAGTAGTAGAATAAAGAAAAGGGGGGGAGGGGAAGGGAAATGAGTCAAAAGTGTGGAGGGGCACGTTATCGATCCCGCTGGTCTCGGACTTACCCACCTTCCCGAGGTCTCTCTCATAATCATCACACCTCCCTACGTCACATTTCTTTACATACACATACCTACAACACCTATAACGTAGGTTTCTTTTACAATTTCATCAACTTCTTTCTTCTTCTTCTTCTTCTTCTTCTTCTTCTTCTTCTTCTTCTTCTTCTCCTTCGCTCTTCCCTTAATCCAACCTGGAATCTTCATCGTATCGCAATCCTGACACAAAAGCATCACACTGGTTTGAAACAAGACACCTTTGCGCATTTGACAAATTATCTTGGTTATCTTGTGTTCTTCTTTCATACACTGCCAGAATGACACTCCTCTCGGATATTATCTCTGCATCGGCACATTTACACAGCTCTAATCAGCTACCCAGCGACGAGTATGACCGCCGGATCCGCGAGCTAGTTGAATACTTCAGGCGGCTACAATCCACCAAAGCTCTCGACTCACTTGCCAGTGATAAGTCTGTTCTCGATGTAAGCAGTTTTATCTATATCAAGTCTCGTCTATGAAAATTCTATGGGTTTGCAGCTAATATGCATTTGTCTTTAGCGTTTTAACCCAGCGATAGATTCTATCCCATATCTTTTCGTGCTACATGTGCAAATACAAAAGGCACAGGAACTCAATGCCGACGCATTTCCAGCTGATATCCACCCCTCAGGAAGTCTATGGGCATATGCTGCACATTTTTTGTCGGGTTGCGATGAGGTCCAAATAAGATACGCTGGACGAGAATGGCGTCTTCTTGTTGAGCTCGTGGGGCAAGCCTCGCAATCTGCACTAATGGCAAGTTGGCTATTTCCCAGTTTCCTGGGTTTCATTGCTAATTTAACCTGATACAGCCACTGCTAGGCGCTACGCTGGTTAAAGACGCCATGCTTCGTCTCGATCCGTCATGTGCCGTTTTCACTTCGAATCACCTCTTGCTTGTCCGGCTTTGTCTCCAGGCCAAAGCATATTCGTGTGCATTGCCTGTCTTGAATAGGCAGATTTGCCACTTCCCAATTTCGCTGGGGCGTTCCTCCTCAGAGCCCTCCGTGCCCTGTGCGGATCACGGGTCAAGTGTATCCTTTATGACTGAAGCTTCAGAGGTCTCATCTAAGCTATCATATCGAGAATACTTGCAGTACTTTCTTTATGGTGGTATGGTATACATGGCGTTGAAAGAGTGGCGCAATGCACTTCATTTCCTTGGGATTGTCGTCTCTACCCCGAGTACTAGCTATGTGAGCATGATTATGGTGGAGGCCTACAAAAAATGGGTACTGGTAGGCCTACTCGAAAATGGCAAGGTAAGCTATCCCTTCGTTGAAAGAAGTAGAAAAAAATAAGCTCGACGGCATTAACCCTATTATTTTCTTGGGCTAACTGTGTCCGTGGGCAGCTCTGTTCACCTCCAAGCATCACAGCACCTCATGTGGTGAAAGTGTATCAATCACTTGCGAGGCCCTATATTATCCTTGCTCATGCATTTGAACGTGGAGATCTGAAAAGACTTAATGCTGAAATCGATGCTGCCACGGGAGTCTGGTGTGCGGTAGGTGACAGCTCATATTGATTCTGTAGGTTTTATTGTTTTGACATTCAGAGCTAATGCCGCTGCTTTAGGACAATAATGTCGGTCTCGTTTCCCAGGTACGGGGTGCTTTCTTCAGTCAAACCGTTATCAAGCTTGGGAAGACTTTCGCAGCTTTAACAGTGGCCGATCTTTCCAAGCAGGTGGTTGCCTCCCCTGTGTGTGCAGAAGGCATTGGATCCGCTGTTTCGTCCCTCATCGTGTCTCGTGCTTTGAACGCGACATTGGTGCAGACCAAAGATCATGCTGAGTCTTCTATGCTACGGTTCTCATCAATTCATTCATTGCCTCGCTTCTCTCATGAGTTGGACTTACAGTCCCAACTCAGGCAGGAGATGAGCCTGATGGAGAGCCTGGTGGTTAATCTTGGGGAGACCAATAATAACCTGGGATTAAGTGATGAATACGTTGATAGCCTGCATAAGGGTCAGGTTTGGTCAGGTTCTAGTGAAGTTAATCCCATTGTAGGGGGAGAGGCTGGACTTGAGATGGATGAAGATCTGATGGGTGACATGTCTTAGGATTCATCTTTATGGTATCAAGGGGCATTAAGGACTGAATAGTCTTGCTTTTGAATGCATTGCTTGCGGTGCTGGTCACTTACAGTTTATGTGGTCTGATAATCGTGATATATGTAGTTTGATATGGTCACACCGCAAAGGTTTCGGGAATCTCACCCACACCGGGTTGTTATACCGGTGGCTTAACTCAACATACGAAGACCTTTTATGGCTGCTACTAAGGGAGAGATGGAGAAGGAGAAAAAGTCTCTGCTGTTTAATATATGTAAAAACAAGGTATCTATATGTAACGGATAAAAATCCTTAATAACATGGAGACGGAGTCACCTGACCGTGTGAAGGAACGAAGTCAAATTGATTCAATACTGACTAAGTCGACATGCTGTTTACAAAAAGCTTGGAGAAGGGAAGGAATGAAGCAAGCGGGATAATAATAAGGATGACGGGTAAGGCGGTGGCAGAACGGAAGCGTGCGGAGACGGAAGGCTATATGGCCCTGCCATATAGCCTTCAGCGGGTCTAACTAGACCTGGCACTCACCCGCACCTCAGAGGGTCAGGGTCCAACCTTACCGACCCTGACCCTGACCCTGACCCTCTAAGGGTCCCTTGAGGGTCACCCGCATCGACCCTCATCGACCCTTAAATGTATAATTTCTCCCCGCCTTTCCTATTTCGGACGTATAAATTAGATGATTCAGCTTCTTAAAATACTGTTATTTATAGCTGTTCTGGTATACCTCTAAATTTTTCTTATCTTTTACTATAAAGACTTTCGAAATATAAAGAACTTAAATTATAAGCTAATACCTCGTATATCGTCACCTTAGGTTTCTTAGTATCGAGCAGAAAAATCTTATTAAAGGTTAGTTTTAATAGATAATGTGAAATATTTATGGTGTAGTAGTTAAAATATATTTCTGAAGCAGACTGATAGTGGTGCATATTATACGATAAGAAAGCGTCTTTTTATTTTTAATATAAATAAACATTAAATATTAAGTTATCTTAGGTAATTAACTAATTAGAGTCTTATTTAATTTTCTGCTAATTTAGCTTACCTCTAATTACTCTGGATCTTATACGAAAGAAGACTAAAGAACTCGATTATTAGACTTTAACGATTTCTATTTTAAAAAAAAGATAATATGACTAGAGAGTCGATAAGGGTGACCCTCACTGACCCTTAGGGTGACCCTTAGGGCGACCCTCTTTACCCGCATATACCCTCTATACTAGCTAATCGGACGAGATAACTTTAGCCTAAGTAGGTAAGATAATGATCTATTAACTTCGCGTCCTCTCGCGATTAGGATAAACTGATTCCCACCGTATAATAGCTTTTTTCTATTTACTTTCTATAAGTCCTATTCTTCAGATTCCCCATAAACTACCTATGAATTATGTCTTAACTCTCGGATAGATATCCTTCCTTAATAGCCGAGGGGGCGGGAATAGAAGATCTCTTATATCTTATCCCGGACGATACTTTTTTCTTAAGTCCATTTCCATTAAGTTAACCTTCACTTAATATAACACTTAATAATTCCTCTATTCCTCCACAGCTAGCACTCCCGGCACCAGAAAACCTTCGGCGGATTAAACCCGACCGGATTAACGAATATCTATCGTACGAAGCGAATATAAGTAAGGAATTTATGGAGTGGTGGCTTTAAACTAACTATAGGAGGAGAAGGCGAATTAATTAGGATAGAAGGCATCACGTAACCTACTAGGAAGGCTTCGATTAAGTGGCTAATACTAAGGATAGAAAGCCAGGCGTGATATATAAGCGATGCCGTACGGTTCTTAAATATCTAGCGTTAGCATATTCTAGTACCTTATCGATGAATAAACATCTTAAAGGACCATAATACCAGCGAGGAATAGGAAAGCTAAGCATCCATAAACTACTCGTATAAGCTATATATATAACTAAGCTCATTTCTCTACTTAGAACTAACTAATAGATAATCTACTAGGGTTAGAGAGCGCCTACCTAAGTATTCACGCAGAGTACTTAGGAACAGAAGCTTCTAAATCTAGTCATAGTGTCGCATTAACCTTTCCTATTCCTCGAGCATTAAGAGTTCTATGATCTTATCTCGTACGCACGACTAGCCCCCACGATACCGACCATTCCTTCTAGGAAGGTAATCCGTACGAGGCTTCGTGAATTTATCACCGAAAACTAAATAACTACACTCCGAAGCCTACTACTAGACGTAAAGCTATCTCTAGCACTTAACTACTAGACGTCGCCATTCTAGTAAGCATTTATAGCGATAACAGCATATTTCCTTAATCGGAACTAGGACTATCACGAAGTCCTTCTTAGTTTTAAGCCGCTTTCCGGTACACATTTAGGGGCTAACCTTAGTGAGGTTATCGTACGGACTCTATAATAGCATTAAATCCTCGATCGAGTGCTTACGATTACGACAGATAATGCGTCTAATAATACTACGCTTATAGCTATCATTAACGATATAATATAGGCTCTAAAGCTTAACACTAAGTCCGTAATTATCTAAGTCCCTTATATTATATATAACGTATTTCACCACCGAGTGGCCACAACCACCGAGTGGCCACCCCAACCCTACATATTAAATTTAAATGCATTTTTCTCAACCAAAACTCCATTAAATTAATTCAACTAACTAATTGGTCTATCTGGACATGTTTCTCTTCTATGCCCTGGCAATCTGCATATTCCACATCCCCGGGGGGGCTTTGTACGTGGTTGTAAACCCGATTCTCTAGATATGCCGGCGGCGGGGGAAGGTGCTTCAGTTGCTTCCAGTTGCTGCATAATTAATGCAGATGCTTCTTGAACTGAGAGGCCTTCTTCGGCGGGTATCTGCCTTCGGGATCGAGTGCGCTTTTGCTTCTGCTTCTCGTTGGCGGCGCGTAAATCGCTTACTTCTTTCTCAAGAAGTGCGGCGGATTGTATAGTGATCTGGCACGCCTTTAAAACCTGGTTTATAGCGGAATTGAGAGGACTTGGAGGGCTCCTTGATCTTATACGAAGCAATGCTTTAATTGACGAAGCTTGTTTTTGTAATTAGACGTAGTTCGAAGGGGTTTTTAGGTCCTAATCACTACCCCGGCTCGGAGGGGGGTCGGGGTTCGAAGACGAATATCAAGCTTTGAAATCACTCGATCGGGTGCAAAAGGTATTAAACCAGCTGCTCCGAAGCTATTTTTAATAGTCTCTGATTTAAAAGCTTTAATTCGTATAAGTGGGTATGCTTCGAGGAAGTCAAGTTTATCGACATGATTTATCCCACTCCGCATTTTGAATTCAACAAACCGACCGTACGCACGTTTTAGTACCGCAAAACAGCCGATATCGAGAGGTTGTAAAAGGTGAGAGGAATGCGGAGGCATATAAATTGGTATAATACCATTTTATTCGCAGATTTCGTCGAACTTCGGTGTTAAATGGCTTCCGTGACCGTCGAGTACTAGAAGCCGATACCTCCCCTTCGTACGCGAAGAAGTCGAAGGAATAAAGAGCTTTTCGAGCCAACGAAGTCCAATTTCATCCGAAGTCTAACCGTTAGGGCTTACTTCAAAGCGCCAGTCATTCGGGACGCTTTTAAACCAAGATTCGAGGAAGACTTTGCCTTTAAAAATCACACACGGAGGAAGCACCCAGCCAGAAGCACCCGTACATTCAATTACTGTCACCCACTCGCGAGTTCCAGGTTATAAAGTCTTACGCCGACCGGTTATATCACTTCTCGTAATAACCTTCGCGGTCGCGGTTAATCCTAACGCGAAACCGGTCTCGTTAAAGTTATAAACGTCATCGGGGTCGATTCTAAATTGAAGGATCGTCTTTTAAACCAGATTAAACCACTCCCCAATGATTTTAGGGTCTTCGCATTTCGCACGCTCGTAATTATACCGTTTCGAGAATCGGGAGGAGAGGAGAGGATGTCGTTTCACGAATTTCGTAACCTAATTTTCGCCGACCGAAAGAACCGGGGTAGTTCCACGTTATTAAAGAAGAAGATCCGCCATTTCTCGTACGGAAGAGGGCCGGGGGGCTGCTCTATAAGAATCCATAGAGATAATCCATTTTTCAAGAGATTCCTCTTTAAGTTCTGTCAATTTATGCGAATTAGCGCGAGAAGTCGCGCGGTCTTGACGCCGCTAAGGCGGCGGCGGAGAGTTAAACGCGGCACATTAAAAGTGCGAGCAGCGAGAGTAATATTGCTGATATCTCCATTTTTAAAAGCCTGGATAGCTAATAAAAGCCTACCCTCTTGCTCAATTGAATTTTTCGAGCTTTGGGAGCGAATTGGTGGCATAGTGGGTGGTTGAAGAAGAAGGGATTAAATTAATTGACGCGTTTTGGGTGGGGTGGCCACTCGGTGGTTGTGGCCACTCGGTGGTGAAATACGTTATGATTTAACTTAGTCTGAATGATCTGCTTAGGAAGATGAAGGCTTCACTAAAGAACGACACCGCGGAGCTTAAGTGGAAAGAGGATCGCGTACGAGCCCTACGTGCTCGATAATAAAAGCGAGAGATTACCGACACACTAAATAAGGTTAGTTCTCTTACTTTCTAGTTATACGATGATCATACTTATATCTATATATCTAAGGTCCGTAGTCTTACTGTCTATATTAACGTAAGCCCTTAACGCCGCGACGCTTTCTATAATCTTTAACCCGACGAGCTAAAGCTCGTGCCTATCTAGGACGTACGAACGCGATAGAATTTAACGTATCTTATGCTTCGCCGGGCTAAGAGACTCTAAGCGACGTTTAATATATTCTGCTCGTAGTACGATTAGCCTCATTTTACACTAAATACCGAGGAGTGGCGATAAATCGATTATCTACTATTTATCCTATAGCCCTTCTTTAAATATATAACCGTTATTTATACGACTAAAGATATAAGTATTCACTTAGTCTTTAGTTTCTATAATAGGATTTTTAATTATCTTAAAAATTTAATCCGTTAACTCTGACGAAAGAA